ATGGAAATTGTTTATATCATTCTATTGTTGTTCTGATGAACAATCCATTGGTGACAGCTAGTGAATTGCGAGGTATAAAATTTTATTTCTTCGATGTTATACTAAATTTATTTTTAAAATACCTTTAGTTCGAACAATAATGGAACTTATAACTAATGAAAATTATTATCAAACTACGTATTCACAATATGTAGGACCTACCGATGTTGCTATTAAAGCTATTTGCAAAAATTATATGTTTTCTGAATTATATGAAATTGCCGCATTATGTAATGTACTTCAATGTAACATAAGAAGTGTCTATCCAAAAATTGATTTTCATCATTATATAGGAATTTGGGATAACCTCTTTACACCTATTCCACCTGTTAATTCCAATTTTAACATTGCGATTTTATGGTCAAATGTCTTGAATGAAAAAGATGCTCGAGAAACACATAATGGCACGTGGAGCCCAAATCATTTTGTTCCACTTATGTCACTACCTATTCGTAATGAATTTAATAACACCAGTCAATCAGCGTCACTTGTTGTGGTAAGTTAGCGATCTGTAAATAGAAAACCAAGAATTTTGAAACTTTCATTTAGACTCCTGAAAAGAAGACTTTCAAGAATAATACTGTTACTCAAATAAGGACTCCAAGATTTCAATCTTCTCCTAGTAGACGCTTACGAAGTGAAGACAACATCGGAAATGATTTTGCTCAATCAAATATTTCAGATTCAATGCAAAAGGAAAAGAATGATAAAGAAGAACGACGTCAGATTCAACTTCAAAAGAAAAGAGAACGAAGTAGATCCAGTCGAATGAATGAAACAGAAGAACAACGTCAAATTCGACTTAAGCAGGAGAGAGAACGAAGTCGATCCAATAGAACAAATGAATCAGAAGAGCAACGTCAAATTCGACTTGAGAAGAAAAAAGAACAAAGTCGATCAAGTGGAACGAATGAAACAGAAAAACAAAGGGAAATTCGTCTTGAAAAGAAAAGAGAACAAACTCAATCCACCCGTACAAACGAATTGGAAGAACAGCGTCAAATTCGTCTTCAGAAGGAGAGAGAACGAAGTCGATCCAATAGAACAAATGAATCAGAAGAGCAACGTCAAATTCGACTTGAGAAGAAAAAAGAACAAAGTCGATCAAGTAGAGTGAATGAAACAGAAAAACAAAGGGAAATTCGTCTTGAAAAGAAAAGAGAACAAACTCAATCCACCCGTACAAACGAATTGGAAGAGCAACGTCAGATTCGACTTGAACAACAAAAGAAACGAAGTCAAACAAATAGAACTAAAAGGAAACTTGAAAAACAGAACAATGAAAACATTAGTACTGGACAAGATTCTACTCATTCTAATTGGCCTGAACCAATTAGTCGTGATTTAAAAGACACTCGGTTGCAACAATTTTTAGAACAGATGTCCATGTCAAAATTGGCTGAAGCTACTTGTGCAGTTTGCAATATCCGTACGTCAGCAAAAGATGCGAAGAAAATTCCAATCTCAAAAATTCCTAAAATTGATTTACTTAAAGTTTCTGAAGAACTCAAAACTTTAATTAAAAATTCAACTGAAAATACTGCCACTCTCATCGATGATAACAATACACATACGACATCACAGATTAAAAGTATGTAGAACTAAATTGATTCAGAAAATTTACAGAATTGTTTTTTTTAGATCAGTCAAATTTTGGTTTGTCATCTTTCTACTGCGAAAATGATATTATCTTATACAAAAATGGCTTATTTGAAAAAAACAGAGTGAATATGTGTATTCTTTGCCAAAAATGCCATACTTCTCTTTCAAAAGAACAAATACCGAAGTTTTCTGCTGCGAATAACATGTGGTTAGGTGATATACCTACCGTATTGCAAGGGTTGACGATTCCAGAAGAAAAATTAATATCACTCTATCGTCACAATAGCTGTATAATAAAACTTCAATCACCTTTTCATTCAACTACAACTGCTCAAACAGCATTGAAAGGAAATTGTATTACCTTCCTTCAAAATGTACCAAATATTGTCAATAGTTTGCCACTTACACTTGCTGATCTTTGTGATACACTTAAAGTAATTTTTATTGGAGCTCGGCCACCTGATCGTCTTCATCTTAAAAAAGTTTTAACAGTACGGAAAAAGAGAATTATTCAGGCATTACAATGGCTAAAAAAATATAATATACTTTATCAAAACATCAACATAAATCTTGAAAATATTGCTCAATTACCAGAAGATGATGTACCCGAATGCATTATGTCAACTTTAGAACAAAAGATAGGTGATGAAGAAGGTCATTCTGAAAGAACTGGGTATGTTCCTGATCCATTAATGAATCCAAAAGAATGCACTACTGCAGATGTCATGCCTATCAGTAACAGGTAAGAATATTTAATAAATCAATGAATTCATGTAGCTTCGTTATTTTAGTGGTGTTCTTGATGTTAATGGCTCATCAGTACCATCAGATGAGATTACTAATTATTTTTTACACAAAATAAAAACAAATGACCAAGCAGTTACTGAAAACGTTTACTTAATTCCACATTCATCGAAACCTGTCAATGAATATTTCAATCCAAAATTATTAACTGGTTTATATCCAACTTTATTCTGTTATGGACGAGGAGCACCTGAAGATCAATCACGTCCAATTGAAATCAAATTTAAAGAACATATACGTTATCTATTATCTTATAATGATCATCGCTTTGAAAAAAATCATAGTTTCATATTCGTAGTTTTCAACTTATTGCAACGACGTGATGCTTGTTTTCATGCTCAATTAATCGCAACAAAACCTTATTTTCAAGCATCAGCTAATGAAGTTCAATCAATTAATAGCAAAGATATTGAAATGGCTCTGAACAACAATTCCAAAAGAACATACAATACAGAAGCAAATAGTGCATTAAATAAACTTCTACGACATATTAAAACTGTCGGTGGCCGAGTTATGGGATCAGCATATTCAAGAACAGCTTTACGTACTCGTATACATGCACTTATTTTTAATCAAGGTTTACCTAGTATATTTCTTACATTAAATCCAGCCGATATTCATAGTCCTGTAGCATTATATTTTGCTGGTGTTCAACTCAATCTTGATAAAATTCAAAATGAACAACTTATGGACACTTATAGAAGAGCTGAAATCGTAGCATCTCATCCAGTTGCTACTGCCAAATTTTTCCATGTATTGATCAGCAATATCTTAGATACTATGATAATGGGTGGAGTTCTTGGACCAGTAAAGGCTTACTTCGGTACTGTTGAAAGTCAAGGTCGAGGTTCACTTCATTTACATCTTCTTATTTGGCTTGATCATGATATGAAACCAGCTGATATGAAAGAAAAAATTCAAGATGCCACCTTTCGTAATAAGTTGAAAGCATATTTAGAAGATATTATCAAAGAAGATTTAGATGACTTCAAAGATAAACAAATGATCGAATCTTCTAATGGTATGAAATATGTTTATCTTATTCCCCATTCATCTTCTCTTTATTTATAATAGGACCGGAGTCATTGAACACTTCCACCCAATTATCACAAAACAATATTTACACCGCTTTACGTACTATTAATCTGACAGACTTCACGGAAAATACACATCAATCGCCTTCTTTATCAACACACACTAAGATAAAATGTGTCGCATGTGTCGCACTTTGCGACACAATGTACGACACATTAATATGCGACACGAGGAGCTCGTTGCGACACATTTCTTCCAGCGGACGTACGACACATTCTTGTGCGACACATGCGACACATTTTTACCACGTGGTTCGAATCCATTTTTCGGCACGAGGATTATTTTTTTTTGAAAATTCGAATAGTTACTATTCTTTCAGTTAATTTCAAACAGTAGCACCTATTCTTGGAGTTCGAGACGGTAGATCTTAAGATCTAGCTGCCTCGAGACCATTTGATCTCGATCAGACTACTTCGAGGCAGTCCATTCTCGATCATCTAGCGACCTCTCGACATGTTCTCGAATAACAAATGGTCGAGAAATAATCTAGAAAAAAAAGACATACGAAAATGTATAAGTCAAGTACGTCCAATAGGCTCGCTTATATGCAGCTGCACTCGCGAAACAAATCGGTGAATGAACGATTGACATATAGGCTATGACACATCTATAATGCGACACATTCTTGTACGACACATTTTTGTAATGGAGTCTGCGACACATTCTTGTGCGACACATATATACGACACATTTTATTTTAGTGTGCACCAACCAAACAACATCTATATTCTCCATCAATTCCTTACAAGTCTCCGCCGATTCCATTTGGATCACCATCAATTCCTTATAGATCTCCAGTATCGAGTCCGCTAATACAAACACCAACACATAATGGAACTGCATTCGGTAGGAAAGACTTCTATTTGATAAAAAAATTATTAAAATTTTTTTAGATATGAATGTGTTATCTAATCAATCAAACTTACCCCCAGCCTGCTTACCCACTCCAAATCCATCATCGCCTAATTTTGAATCAAGATTTCGTGCACATGTAGTACAAGTTGTTGAATCGGGCAAT